CTGGCCTACACTTTATTCCCACTTCGGCAAATGACATCACTTGCAAAGAAGTCCATACGCGACATTCATTCCTCAGTGTTCCGTCGATCACAAAATCACTTTCGCGCCAAATCTAGACCGTCAGCGTGACTGATTTGACGACCAATAACGAAATCAGTTTACCTCGCCACATTGTTATGGCTTCAAATACGTCAATAATCAGTTGCCGAGATGCACAAGATAAATGTGCGGGTAAAAAAGGGGGGAGGTCAGGGAGAAAAGTTTACGTGTGAGTTAATTCTAATGGGTTCAAATCCCTGGAGATGGTCCCTCAAACCCCAGCAAACCCGCTGGAACATTGGATTCTGACAGACAAATTACAGAAATGTCAAATCTATTTGTGCTCTGCGAGACTGTCTAATGACTTAAAGCACCCAACCCTGAATATGATTACTTTGAACGCAACGGGGATTCGTCATCACACGTAAGCTTTCATTGGTTTGCGTATTACTGATCGCTTTGGTATTAAGAGACTGTCAAGCACAGACACTGACGAGAACAGTTATGAAACAACTGGACCAAAATGGCGACTGATAGGCAGTCGATCCTCTCCGCAGACGCCAGGGTCAAATTAGACGCATAAATTGCTTATATTTAATCATTCCAAATCGTAGTAACCAAATGAAGCATTTTCATCTTTGATCATTGTGTCTATTAATCAACTACGATGACTTTTTTTTGGTTGTTTCATCTAAAAATGGAAAACTTGCCACTTGATTTCTAAACCGAAAGAGGGAGGGGTATTAGAATATAAACTCGCAATTTTTATTCTTTTTTTCCGCACTCAAAAACAAATAGGGCATATTATCAACAAAAATATTCGGAACATTTGTCATTACTTTTGCAGGTAGCTTTTTACTGCAGTGACCAATTACTACGGAGTTATATGTATACAGCAACCCAAAGCATAGAGGCAACTTAATTGCTTGTAATTCAACACGCGGCTACCTGAAACAAGATGATGGATAGGAAAAACTGCTGGTGTGGCGTGGGCAAACACAATACTTGAGGAGGACTTAATTTCCTGTCACACAGAAGCTCGACCACAGGCGTATATGATTGAAATGACCACTGACACAGAAATGATTGATTGGTATGAAAACAACTGGGTCTTTTTTAATCACGCACGCGACAGGTGGGTCCTTTAGACGTTGTCAAGCATAGGTTGGAAGCAAAGAGCAATCCAATCTGAAATCAAAATTTTTCCCCCCCCCCCCCCCCCACCCCGGAATAAAAATAAAGCATTTCAACTGCATTGATGATAGCGATATTCTGAACATTCTAATGGATTTTAGACATTAAAATATTAATATTATTAATTATTAATATTATTTTAAAATATTATTATTATTTGCATGCTCGATTATATCCGGTGTATAATACCCATCCTGTACCTTCCCACCACCACAAAGCTGCTCGCTGTCTTTGTATTTGATGAGATTGAAGTCACAAAATTAGGCAAAAAATCCACTGGAGCCACATTTCTTACCAAGCAATTCGAAGATTTTTCTCAAATGCCTTGGTTCAATCAAACTAGCGGCAAAATGACGCGCTGTATTAAACCAAGGACAACACCGTCAGACTGATCTTATATACAGCCACTAGTACACAGATGCTCATAAGTTAAGCAACACCTAGATTTTTCCCAAAATGCCAGTTCATGCTGTCCACTTTTCTTTCATATTTCATAAACATTTTGTATAAGCGTGTAGCTGGCGTAAGCATAATTAACAGCTTTCTGTATAGACAAAGGTTTTACAGCTGTTGGTTCCTCCTTTGTGTTACAGATTTTTTCATAATGACTCACCTTATGTCATACTTCATGTTACTTTCTTTTAATCTCCAAATATTTTGACAGCACAGTTTCCGTTGAATATTTATAACCCTAAATGATTTAGTGTGGTTGTTAAATCACAACTTGAATTGCCCACCACAAAAGCCTATGTAATTCATACAATTTTTGTAATATAGGCCCCTATATATAACCCGTAATGCTGTTAACATTTTAAAGGTATTGCGTGGGGCGTTTATATTTTTCCTCAGTGTTTAATCGCACATACAAGGTAACAACAAAGGACGTATACAACTACTGCAAAAAAATCCATTCCAATCAAAGGTTTGATTTTTGAGAGAATTAAAGAATACAGACAGTGTGTTACTTGACTTATGAGCACCAGTATAATAAAGGCGAGAAGTCGGCTATCTTTGTCACAGATGACATATACCATTGACGACAATACACAGAATTAAAGAGGATTAGGTTACTTTAGAACTTATGAAAATACTGGTCGATAAAAATATAAGATTCTAATGAGGCTCCTCGGGTGTCGGACGAGATAAAAATAGACCCAAGTGTTGCCTAAAATAGATGGTCTCTTTTTAAATTGATATGTTTTTACCTTTTGACAAAGCACCGGCGCATCTATTAGTGGGTATCATATTCAAAGTGAAAATGTGTATAATGTGTATAATGATGGCACAGCCTACTTTTCTGAAGGTTTAATCTAAAAATACGCCGCAGTGATGTCAAACTCCCCCGTTTCAGTGCGACGGGCGTCAGGATGCGCTAAAAATAGTACAAAGTTGGAAATCAGCCAGAGAATTAGTTTAGCAAGTCATTTCCACGGTATGTTATCACACGTGGCTTAAATTGACTGAACTGAGACGGTGAAAGACACGCCGAGCCCCTCGAAACAATGCTGGTTTCTATAATGAAAGGCTTTGAGCGTAATTCAAAGATATTTAGATGGCGCTGAGATATTTTTCTTTGAATTAATCCACCAAATAGTTGCTGTAACACAATTAAATGCGTTTGTCTCTGTGTCCATAAGTCCCCTGGTCTGTTCGCGGGGTTGGTTTCAAATTAATGAACGGATTCTACTACTTAAAATAGAACCACTTTCCACACACGAGATTAATAAGTTCGGTAAAAGATCTGTAGTATGTGAACCATTTGGACCAAATCAGCATAAGTTCGCAGACAGAAGCTAGTAGTTTCTATACTGTTTATTTGCCTGGAACTCCTTGATATTATGAAACGGGGAATATAATATCTCAGGAAAAACGATATGGCTAGTTAGGCGATTAAGAATAGGAGGGAAATTCTAATAGTCATGGTCAGTCGTCTAGGGCACCTTGACCTGTCAACATGTCTCACCCTTGGTGGTAGTAGAAGGTTTTCGTTTTACTCACTGTAATGCTTGGGGAAGGGGGGCTGGATGTGTACATGAAAGAAGAGTACCTTGTGCACACTAGCCCCAACCCAACCACCAAATCACATCAATACCCGCTGTAACATGTACAGGAATGGAACCGTAGTCTGCTTCCCATTACTTTGCACAGGTGACATTCGTCCCATATACCAACCCCAATACTCCGACTAACCCTAACCTGCCCTACTAATCACATGTGAGCCCGGGCTTCCATTTCTAGGACTACCATTCCTGTCACAGCGACTTAATAACTTATAACATATGAGGAAGGGAGCAAGATAATGCATGGTTTTGCTTCGATTGTATTTAAGTAGAATGACGCAAATGCGGGGTTCATCGTGCATCTATTCCAATGCAGTAGTGCAAGTGACATGTCATAAATGTATGCGCGCATGCATTTGTTCGGGCGTGTGCATCTGCAAGATTCATCGTACATCTATTCTCACGGGTCGGTACGGGTAACGTGCTGTAATGTACATGGCGTCGTTCAGATCGAAGCAGCACCCGGTCGTCCCGTTTATGCGTGCGTCACAGCCTAATGGCAACCGATGCTTGCGAAACTTATTGGCAATTCGCTTGTAAAACACATCAACTTATTTTTGGAATACAGTTTATTGGCCATTGGCAAGTGAAAGGCTAAAGCACTTCTAGATAGTTATCCAGGTAGCGTACTTTATCACTTCCACCCACACATCTGGCTCGCGCTGCGATACCGTAACATTCTCCAGCTATCAAAATCTTTCCAGAAAAACCAATTATGCCGTCAGACTTTTTATCATTTGCTGTACTGCCATCCGCCGTTAAAAGGGTTAAATTTTGCCTGTGCTAAGAATGCTGTGATTAATGATAGGCATTTCCACATACGCAAAAGTACGAAAATAAACATACCAATATTTCGCAATTAATTCCAGTGGGGGATTTAGGGGGGGGGTCAGGTGGGTCCTGGGGGGGGGGGAAAGGTCGGCTTCGCATCCGCGGCCGCCCCCCCCCCCCCCCCCCCAAATAATCCTGGATC